GACATTGTACTAATGAGTACCATGTGTGTGTGTTTGTCTTTGACGAACAGACACAGACATCTCATGAACGGCGGAATGGACATGTCATCCACAAGACAATGCATGTACCTCTCTCAAGGCCCAGACTCATTTATATGTTCATCAATTTAAGACAAAATTGGAATGAATGCTACTACTACAAGAAGTCCAATGACAAAACAACAAAAAGGCGGCTGAAAGTCAGCTGACCAGGGTGACACCAGCAGTGCTGTCATAAATGTCAGAAAGTGATATTTTCCAGATAGTATAGAACCATACAGAAGGGTTACGGTTTCACCATAATCGTCTTTGCTAACCAAAATTTGGGTGCCCTGATATAAGATGTATTTAATGAAAAATTAGGGCAACATCTAAACTTACATCTGGCATCCTGCTTGAGGATTGAATGGTTGCATACACAATGGGCCTGGTACATAACCAATAGAAAACTCTGGTTCCTTTCTGTGTGTAGTGAGTAGTGGGAATGAAAAATGGTGGTTGACATTGCTTACAGGAAAAGTGTTCATGATGGTGACAAGAGTGGTGGTGAGCAGAAGAGTACTTGATCAATACCAGTATTTATATGGGATTGGAATGGACACCTGAGAAGGAAAGTTATTTTTCATGTAGTAATAGGATTTCACAAAGAATACCAAATGGGCAAGACATGTGCATTCAAACGTGAAGTGGTTGGAGCGATGATAGCAGAAATTAAATGAGGTTCATCAGAAAAGGCAGCATCAACAACAGCACTAGTGGTTCCCTGAAGATGAATGCCTTCTGAATCACTTCAAGATTTCTGAAGTGGATGGGAAATGAATGCAAGGTGATACATGAAGATGGCTTAAAAAACTGGTGGTATTGCACATGTAATTTTAAATGGGAGGACAGAGTTGATTAGGACATTGAGGAGGCTTATGTGACAAACCTAATAGATTCAGTGATCCAAATCCAAGACAAACACCCTGATCGAAGACCTAAGTCCATGGATCGAGGGCTTGATTGACGTAAGGGCATCAGTAGAATATCTGATAGGTAAGCTTGAAGGGTGGTGGTGCTGCAGGGTGGACAACATGTTCCAACGTGTTTTTCAGAGATGTCTGCCATGCATGTTCGTCTATGATGAACAAATACTCACCTAGTCTAACCGTATCCTAGAATGTAAAAATTGAGTCAATAAGATTATGCACAGGCA